AGTGTATTCACAAGCTGCTAGTGGCTTATAGCAATTAGAAAAGATTGATGATGTATTCATTTTACCATTTAGATTTAAATATCGATAGTTATCAAAAGTCGAATTGAAAAGAGGTACAACTGTAAAGAGTTCAAATGAACTTGCCAACGAACTTTTCGATTCATCGATGACACAATCATGATAACTATGTTGTGAACGATTATCACACACAGGACCAACCGGGTATAGAGCCGTGTCGGTGATATACTTAATAATACTAACTAGCATATGATCTTGACCATTGGTTATTGATGTTAAGTCATTACGATTCGAAACATAGAGACTGTCAATCGACTCTTGTTCCGTTAATATCAATGAATAGATTGATAAGTTGTGGTAAATTCTGAATATTGAGCTACGACAAGGGCAGCTTAACACATGAGATTTTAAAAATATCTCGAAACCATTGGTGAAATAGGTCACTGGACATTGATGACTGATTTCTCGCGTTCGCAAATTTGGCTTCCTGATGTACATGGAGAAGTGTTTGAGTTCAGGTCGAAGAGTATTACCAATCTCTCCAATGGTTAAATTTGTAATAAAATCGATATAATCTTGATTGTCTCGATCATTTTCCGGAATATTAAATGGTAAGTCAAGACTTTCATTGTCGATCGGAACACTCATGTAAATATCAGGAAATGGATCTCTCAGGTCTATTTCCCTTAAATTTGCACTCATTTGGGTTGCCCCTTGCATAAATTGCTTAGTTGCAAATTGAACATAAGGTAAACTTATAATTGTAGCACAGACTAAGAATAAAATGGCTATTTTATGTTTAAAAGCCATCTATATAATTAATTTTCGTTATCATTCAAGTAAGTATAACTGTTACTAACCATCTATTGAGCAAAACTTTACATTGTAACTTTCCGCAATTGATTCTCTCATCTACATGTATAATTTGAGATCTGATTGATTAATATTCATAACATAATTTCAATATCACCTCACTTTAGATAAATTATCTCTGAATAACTAGTGGTATGTGGTTATTATAATTACGATCTACATCGACGTCTCTCTCCACCTTTCTCTCTTAGATTTTAGTCTATTTAAATTTAATTATAATTTCAGTAAGGTCTTAGTTGATGGATGAAGGCATGTCTTGTGGTTAGCTTCCAAACTGATCCTCATCAATTAATCGACGAAATCAATTCATTAATAAAAAAACTCATGGTTATCTTAAGGTTATTAGTGATTATTGTTTTGTGAAAATGAGTTTCGATAATTTTGATTTTTCTGAATTGAGGTTTGTTAATTTTCATTAAATGATTAAATGTGAAAGTGAAGTATTACCAGGGTTCGAGTTTATTGAATACTTTAAACTGATCACAAGTATTTTTACCAAAAAACCGGATACAATAAATGATTAGATCTTCTGCTCGAAAGGCAATCGAAAAAAATAAAATAATAATATCCAATGAATCTCGTGAATAATGAAAAGTAACCAAATCTTTGAAGAAAGATTCAGCTGACAATGTTGACTGAACAGCATAGAAATAGTTTTTCTGATAAGTTTTCAAACGATCAAGTTGAATCCTTTCATCGTCAGTAAAGTTGAACCTTTCGATCGACGAATTGATCGTTTGAAATGTGAATGATAGACAAACTGTAGAATCATTTAGAATGACCAGTAAACAGCTATAACCGAATACCAAAAACATGAAGAATAGAAATATTCCAATGTGAAACTTTTTCAATATTATATAAGAAGAAGTGCCTAATAGATGTAAAGCTAATGCCAAAGCGAACTGTATTAGAACTCTATTGCTCCTCTTTCTTTGTAGTTTCTTTTCCGAAGATATTTCCCCCGGAATATTGATCAGGTCGATGTAATAAACATAGCTCCGAAATTGAGGCCAGTCAAGTCGAAACATAAATCCTAGTTGGAAAAAAGTGGGCATTTGCCCAATTATAAATGAAAACTAAAACCATCCAAATAGTTCTTTCGGATAAAGATAATATCAACGTGAAATTGTTAACATCTTATAAATTCTGATTAGCTTTTATCACTTTATTTTTAACTGATTTGCGTATAAAAGATTTAAAGTATCTAAACAAAGAAGTTCCAAAGTGTCTGAGTATAGCTTCGCAAGATAACCCTAAGGCTCCTAATAAAACTAAGATAGCGTCAAAAACTTGTTCTAGGTAATCTCTGAAACTATAATCATATTGGATATCAGCTATTATCTCAATCAAATCATCAAGTGAGAAAACAAGAGAAGATCGATTCGAATGGATATTAAACATTGTAGCGGTCGTATGATAAGTAGTGTATTCACAAGCTGCTAGTGGCGTATAGCAATTAGAAAAGATTGATGATGTATTCATTTTACCATTTAGATTTAAATATCGATAGTTATCAAAAGTCGAATTGGAAAGAGGTACAACTGTAAAGAGTTCAAATGAACTTTTCAACAACCTTTTCGATTCAGCGATGACACAATCATGATAACTGTGTTGTGTCCGATTCTGACATCCAGGGCCATCGGGAAAAGGATGAGTGTGTTTAGTATGCTTACCAACATTGATCAGCATATGCTCTTTACCATTGATTATTGAAGTGATGTCATTACGATTCGAAACATGAAAACTATCAATCGATCCTTGTTCCGTTAATATCAATGAATAGATTGATAAGTTATGGTAAATTCTGAATATTGAGCTACGACAAGGAGGCAGCTTAACACATGAGATTTTAAAAAATATCTCGAAACCATTGGTGAAATAGGTCACTGGACATTGATGACTGATTTCTCGAGCTCGCAAATTTGGCTTCCTGATGTACATGGAGAAGTGTTTGAGTTCAGGTCGAAGAGTATTACCAATCTCTCCAATGGTTAAATTTGTAATAAAATCGATATAATCTTGATTATCTCGATCATTCTCCGGAATATTAAATGGTAAGTCAAGACTTTCATTGTCGATCGGAACACTCATGTAAATATCAGGAAATGGATCTCTTAGGTCTATCTTTTTAGCTGAAATGGGCATAATTATTTTGCCATAAAAAAGGTTCTTTGTTGAAAAGTAAACATGAGGTAAATATAATACTGAAACACATGTTAAGAATAAAATGGCTTTTTTTTGTTCGAACACCATTTTTATATAATTTTTGTGATCATTCAAAAATATAACTGTTACTTGTCATATATTCAGAATAACTTTACCTTCTAACTTTCTACTGCGCTATAGTTAATTCTATCATGCTCATGTAAATTAGGATGATTTGATGTCTGAATGATTAATATTTATAAAACTGTCTCGATATTATTATACCTCAAATTTTAGTTTTACCTTAGAAATTAAAAAACTTCCTAATTAACGAGAAATTAGTCAATATTTACTTACCTGTATATTTAATGAGGAATTATGAGTTTTCTTGTAAAGTTGTCTTTTCTTGCAGATAAAAGCTTTGATTAAAAGGTTTGGTCAAAATTAGGATCAACGTTGTGTTTTAATCATCAACAGAAATGCAAGCATCAGCATCCTAAGTATCAACAGCAACAACATCTAGGCCATCATCTTCATTAAAATCATTAAATTCTCACTTCATTTAATAAGCATTCTCATCGTCCTCCTGTGAGTCCAACTGATCCTCGTTTTGAGCTAACTTATTCAGCGCTTAATGACGAAAACAGAATGTAGAGTAATGCGAAAGTTTTCCTTTAATTCAATAATAAGCTTTAATTGGACTTTAATTCAAAGTTCATGAAGAAAATCAATTATTTATTATAATAATAGGGTGATTACCCTAATACTCAACTATAGTCAAGTACCTGAAATTGTCCGTACCCAAAACTTTATTGGAACACCGAAGTGTAATGATTTAACATTTAAAACTACAGAGGAAATCTGTAGCTCCTCCGAGTGAAGGAAAGTTGTGCCAGACAACTCAGGGTAGGGGAAATACAATAGATTTGGTTTACAAATTATTAGGTAAAAACAAAAAGTTAAATTTACAAATTATATTAATTGGCTGAGGGTTAATTTGATTGTCCAAAGATCCAATTTGATGATTGTAAATAAGTACCAAGGGTTGAGATGAAAGAGAAGATGAGGTCCGAAAAATAGTTTAACTCATTAGGTATGATATGAAGAAAAGAAAAGAAAATTAGAATTTCAATCTTTTAAAATGTGAAAACAATTATTTTAATTATAGATGTGAAGTAATTTTCAATCAATTTGTTTAATAATTGTATTTAAAGTATAAAATTTAAAGTATGAGTTTGAGTTAGAAAAGAAAGTTGTATTAAATTACCATCAAAACTTACCAAGAAAACAAAAATGGTTTAAATTATTACAACGCAATAATAGCTCAGTTTTAAGGGTAACAAAAAACAACCAAAGTAACTGTTTAACTATCATAATTTTGGTACCGACTTGATCCGTGTGATAAGATAAACAATAATAACACAAAATTAAATATTAAATTCACAGATAAAGTTAATTAAATTAAAGTTTATCAGGAGCGATAAAAATCGTGTTTTTAACGCAAAACTGTCCATCGGTAGTTGCTCCATCTTTCTAATTGGAACTAACCCCATTGAATTAATTAGAGCAAATATTTTTTTCTTAATTAAATCTCATCAATATCAAAATAACTTAATAAGATTAAAATTATTCATAGTTTTCATGACAATTTCTGATTGTTTAGAGGATGAGTTCAGGTAAAATATTTTTTTGATAAAAATAATCGATTAATTTACACCCCTTTCAAATCACCCGCTCTACGAATAACCCGTACAAAAAGTGGACAATTTTAGGTACTTGACTGTATCTGAAATGGGTAATGGTTGAGAATTTGGTTGAAAGCTCAGTAAATTAGTTGATTAAGTGAGTTATTGATTCTCAAGTTATTTTTATTGTGCAAAGTGAACATAATTGATGAGTAGATTTGTTAGAATTGAGTTGTGCCATCTTTAGATTAACACAATCTTCACAATAATTCATAAATACTAATCCATATGATATTTGTGTTAATTTTGATTAAATGCTTCAATGGTTGACAAAATTGATTAATCCAAGTAGAATAGTGAATGAAAGTGTTAAAAGTGACGTGATGAAATTGGGTGAGATTAACACGAGATCAGCGAAAGTAAAACCAACATTAGCTTTTGTTATTCGATTAAGAAAACTTTTTATCTGTATGGAAATCAAATCAATCAATTAATCATGTTTGCATTAAAAAAAATGATAATACTTACCTGATCTATCATTGGAACGGAATCAGTTTCAAATGAAAGCTCATACAAATCTTCAAGCGCTCCTTCTGAGTTTACATGGACACTGTTCAAGTTTGTGGTGAGAAAAGTGATCGCAAGTATGTTTATCAAAATTATGAATGACCAGATAACATGAATGATTAGATGAACCGAATCTTCCACTCGAAAGGCAATCGAAAAAAATAACATAATAATATCCAATGAATTTCGTGAATAATGAAAAGTAACCAAATCTTTGAAGAAACATTCAGCTGACAATGTTGACTGAACCGCATAGAAATAGTTTTTCTGATAAGTTTTCAAGCGATCAAGTTGAATCCGTTCATCGTCAATAAAGTTGAACCTTTCGATTGACGAATTTATTGTTTGAAATGTAAATGATAGACAAGCAGTAGAATCATTTAGAATGACCAGTAAACAGCAATGACCGAATATCAAAAATGTGAAGAGTAGAAACATTCCAATGTTAAACTTTTTCAATATCATATAAGAAGAAGCTCCTAATAAATGAAAAGCTAATGTCAGAGTGAACTGTATTAGAACTCGATTGCTCCTCTTTCTTTGTAGTTTCTTTTCCCTCGATATCTCCTCTGGAATATTGATTAAATCAATGTAACGAACATAGCTCCAAAATTGTGACCAGTCAAGTCGAAAGATTAGTAGAATTTGGAGAAATGTTCGAATTAGTCCAATTATAAATGAGAAAAATAAAATCATTTCAAACCTCGATGAAGGAAATGGAAATCGAAAATAGTGACCCATTTGATGTATTTCAAGGTACAGACCACAAAATAATATATCGATAATTAACACCCAATGGATGATCGGTTTATTCAAAATTTCCCGTTGAATTAACCAACAATTTATAACAGTGAATCTATTAGCGTCCATTTTTTCAGTGAACTATTGCTTTCGATTGCGGAATTATAGTCTTACTTGGCCTCTTTTGAATTTCCTGGAACTCCAGTTGTCCTTCAGACCAACTAGTAAGAATGATTATCGTTTCCATAGAGTTTGGAGTTAATCACAAATAAATCATCAATTGCGTCGTTCTTATGAACAATCAACCAGCATGATACTAATAGAATTGAAAATCATGTATACCAGAAGTTTCGTTTCCTTATTTTGATTGCTTAAAGTTATTGATTAATTTGTTTTTTAAAAAACGAAAATTCAAAAGCAAAAAATAGCCGACAACTTTTTTTTCTGATCAAATCAATTAATTTATGACACCTTCCCAAGGTAAGTACAGTCTAAGACAGGATTTAATTGATTAGTTAACTTTTTATTTTTTTTCATCAATAGTTTAGTTAGTGAGCAAAATTAACAGAATTTGATATTGGCTTTGTAATCAAATGATAATAATTTCGCAATAAGCAATTAACTATTTAACTTTATATCCCACTTAAAATTGTTAATAAGTTGATGAGTGATTTAATTAGTTAATTAAGAATAACGATTTCTAAATAGTTCTAAGGGACCAATTCAAATAATATGCCGATAGCTTCAATTAACCAAACGGGATTCGAGAGAGATCAAAGCTCAATTAAGTCAGTAAAAGCCTTTTTCTCCGAATAGGTTATGATTAATTTCCACCAGTTCAGAGACAATGATTTGATTTGATTTGATTTGATTGATTAAGATTCGGTTGAAAATTGGGTTAGATTATTGTTTAATTGCTGGCATTGGAAAAATTTGAGGAAACTTTTTGATTACAATGGATTTAGCGTAACCAAGCATAAGAAAAAAAGTTTCCGTTAGAAGGGTGAAAACGGATAAGGCCGAGAATCCAAGCCAAATCGAAACGACTTCAATAACTTCTTTTTCATAATCAGTCCAAGGGTAAGAATATTTAATGTCACATTGAATATCCATTGACCGGTCAAGTAGAAAGGTAAGAGAGGATTGATTCAACTGATTGGTCAACATTGTGGTTGTCGTATCATAGTTAACATATCGACATGGATCAGGTCGTTTAGAGCAGTCGAAAAAGTTGAGCTCCTTTTTCATCGAACTGTTTAAATTCAAATATCGATAGTTATCAAAAGTCGCATTGAAAAGAGGTACAACTGTTCTGAGTTCAAATGAACTTTTCAACAAACTTTTCGATTCAGCGATGACACAATCATGATAACTGTGTTGTGTCCGATTCTGACATCCAGGGCCTTCCGGTAAGGGATGAGTGTGTTTCGTATGCTTACCAACATTGACCAGCATATGTTCTTGACCATTGGTTATTGAAGTGATGTCATTACGATGTGAAACATAGAGACTATCAATCGATCCTTGTTCCGTTAATATCAATGAATAGATTGATAAGTTATGGGAAATTCTAAATATTGAGCGACGATAAGGAGGCAGCTTAACACATGAGATTTTGAAAAATATCTCGAAACCATCGGTGAAATAGGTCACTGGACATTGATGACTGATTTCTCGAGTTCGCAAATTTGGCTTCCTGATGTGCATGGAGAAGTGTTTGAGTTCAGGTCGAAGATTATTACCAATCTCTCCAATGGTCAAGTCGGTAATAAAATCGATATAATCTTGATTATCTCGATCATTCTCCGGAATATTAAATGGTAAGTCAAGACTTTCATTGTCGATCGGAACACTCATGTAAATATCAGGAAATGGATCTCGTATGTCGGTAAAGTTAACCCGACTCGGCATATTGACCTGTTTCACTAAATACTTAATTGTTTTTTCGTAAACTTGAGGCATCCAAATGAACGAACAAATCAAACAGAATAAAATAGATATTTTATGTTTAAGGAACATTTCGATTATCGGTTGATCATTTCTGAATTAAAAAAAATTTTCAACAATTAACTTATTAGGATCTAAAATAATGAGTCTTTTGAATTTCTATTAGAGTTTAAAAGATACTCGAATTAGTTTTATCATGATGATTGTTGTCTCATGTTAGCTCATTGAATTCTGATCAGATTTAAATTCAAACCTTTAATTATCCAAGATTTATTCATGACGTATCATCTTTTCAAGGTCATTCATTATATTAATCAACATTCTTCTCATCATTTCAATGTCATTATCATCATGTAGGTGTTCATCAAGTGTATTACAATTATCATCTTTTTGCAGGGTTAATGATAATTGTTTGGTCATTAGTTTGACCATTAGACCACTGATTATGAAATCATTTACAGGGTGAACTTATGTTTAATGTTATGTTTTATTCAATGATCAGCTTTTATTTAGACATTAATTCAGAGTTCATGAGAAAAATCAATTTTTTAATTATCTCAAATGGATAATAGTTTATCATTCAGTTTAGAGGTTAGTTTGGATTTCAAAAATTACATTGTATTAAAATTGTACATTCATTGTCAAAATATCAGGAACAACAGGAACGTTTTCAGCTTCGGCTAATGTCCAATTTTCAGGAACAAGGATACGAGATGAATTTGATTGGATTATTGATGAAGTTGCTAATCCACTAGAATTACAAATACCCATAACTCGTTCACCAGAAGAATTGATACCGAAAACTCAATACCAATTGATGGCATGTAATGAACACTATCATGAAGAGGATATAAACGAAGAGGAACTCGTCCAGTTGCGACGAGAATATCACTGAAATTCAAAGACCCACAATAATAGATATTGAATAGTTATCTTTTCCAATCGAGAATCAGAACTTTTTCATGATGAATAAAATTTGAAAATTTATTTTCAGTTTTATTCAGTACAGTTCATTTATCCAGTAGATGCTTTCATTGCCAACGCTTCAAGAATCTCAGTGATTTCTTTCGAATTCTCTATAATCATGTTATCGTGTTGTCCAGGTAATTTGAAAACAGTGACAGCTCCATTTGTATACTGTTAAGAAAAGTTTTCGAATCGAATTTCATTATTATGATTATCCACCATTAATAAATTAATAAACTTACTTTAGATAATCCATAATCTTCCAAATGATTGAAATCTGCATTAAACTCATGTAAATCTGTTCCTCGAATTAAAACAATTTCACCGTTGAAATTTTCGTCCACTTTTACAGCGGCAGCTTTTTTCGGCTTATCTACAAAAAGATCAATAGCATCACTTATTTGGTTAACATCATATTCAAATGATCCAACCCTGTTGATAGTTGCAGTTGCATATTCTAATTTTTCTTGCTTCGTTTCGAGCTCTAACAGTTTTGTTCTCACTTCGTTCTTTTCATCACTTCTCATATACTGTGAGAAATAATCAAATATAAAGCATATAAATATTGTGCTTTCATCTTTTCCTGCATATTCTTCATAAACATTTCTCGTTTTGCTGTTTACAATTTCGGGGGATGAATCCATAATGATGAGAGTTTTAACAGAATCTTGGCCCAATTTCTTTTGTAAGCTAATAGCCACTTTGAAGGCTATCACTCCACCGAAGCAGAAACCAATGAGATTAAATGTTTTCTCGTTTGGATATTTGGCTATAAGTGAGTCCACATAAAAGTTAACAACTTCATCCATTGATTGGAGATTCTGACAGTCTTTTGTCCAACTGATGCCAATCACTGGTTTTGAGAATGATTCAAATACTGGAATTACGACAGCAAATTGACCCGATTGACCTGGGAAGTAAAAGTATGGTAATCCAAATTCACTTCTATTCAATGGGATAAATAATTGCGTATGAACATGGAAAATATTTCTGTATATTGGTAATGAATGAGTGGAGTTGACTTTTTTCTTCTCTGATTTTTTCAATTTATTTTCGAGTTCATCTAATTCACCAACTTTCAGTTCTCGAATTTCATTGGTTGTCATTGAATAATCGTAATCAGTATCTAGAGCTTGTTTGATTTCAACTGCCATCAATGAATCAATACCAAGCTCAGATAAAGTTGATTGTGGATCAACTTTAGTTGCATCTTTAACACTAAGGATATGAAAGATTCTCTGTTTTAATGAGTTTCTATTTCCTATTGATGATGCACTTTTTTTATCAGAAAATGAAACTATGGTGAAAAGTGAACTATCATCGGATGACATTAAAGTTTTGTCAAATGAATCCAATACTAAATTCAAACGAATTGGTTCAAGAGAGCTCAACGTCTCGTTAGATCGCACATTCATCTCTGTAAATATCCCAACATCACCAACTGTTCCCCATCGAATAGCCAAACCATGTAGTCCATCTAATCTTCTTTTCCTACAAATATTTTCCATCGCTGCATTACCGAAACAATAATTGGTCTGTGCAATACTTTCGAGCTCAACAGCTATTGAAGAAAAGCATACGAAATAATCAATATTGTAGGGCAGAGAGCGAGTTAATTGGTCCAAATAACGACAAGCGATAGCTTTTGGTTTGACAGCTTCATCAAATGTTTCAGCTGTTTGATTTTCGAAAAGTCCATCTCTTAGAACTATAGAAAGATGAAATACTCCACCGATTTGGCCCAATTCTTGTGCTTGATTAATTAATCTCTCAGCTGATTCTGAAGTTGAACAATCTTCATTAGAGATAATAATATTCACTCGAGAGTAACTATTGTTTCTCATTCTTTCTAAAATATACTCTTGGTATTTTGTCTTGATTCCAGAACGTGAGGTTAGAACTAGATTAGTCGCTCCTCTTGATACCATCCAATAGGCAAGTTCGAGTCCTAATCCTCCAAGTCCACCAGTTATTATGTAACTTTTTTCAAGATCGAAAAATGTTTGACCAATTGAACGATAAAGTTCAACTTTGTTTGGATCTTCATATTCATTTCTCATTTGAATCAAAACTTTACCAATATGTTTCCCTGTTGCCATAAACCTAAACGACTCTTCCAGCTGATTCATTTGGAATATCGTTGTCGATAGAGGTACAACTTCGCCTGATTTGATTCCTTCTTTTAACATCTCAATAAGACCATTCCAAACTTGTATCCGACCAGGAATCATCTTGATGAACACATCATCTTGCAGAAATGCCAAGCAACAAGCATGAAACGTTTTGTTGAAATCTATGAATTGTGAATCTATTTGGATAAATTTATTAATACACAAATATGAAAAACAAAGTATTAGCCGGGCTAATTTAGCCCAGACTTACCCATTTTCGTGTTTTGGATCATATCATATTTACCAATTTCGATGAAGCGACCGAAATCTGATAAGCATCTGATCGAAGCTTTTAATTTATCATCAGAAAGTGAATTTAAAACCAAATCAACTCCTCGACCATCGGTCATTTTCATAACCATATCTTCAAATGATGTTGATCGAGAATCACCAATATGATCATCATTGATTGAAGGGAAACGTTTCTTAATGAAATCCCGTTTCTCTTGTGTTCCAACTGTAGTAAATACTTGACAGCCTCTTGATAGACAGATCGAAATAGCTGCTTGACCAACTCCTCCTGAACCTGCATGAATTAAAACACTTTCACCAGATTGTAAATTTCCTCGAGAAATTAAACCATAATAAGCTGTTAGATAGACAACAGGAACTGTTGCAGCTTCGGCTAATGTCCAATTTTCTGGAACTGGAATCTTTGTTAAATAAGTTTCAACGCAAAGAGATGTTCCGATTCCTCCAGCTGCACACATTCCCATGATTCGATTACCTAATGAATCTATTCCAGAAAACTCAGTTCCAATTAGTGGACCAGCTTGTAACCCGTCGTTGCCCATATTAAATTGTAAATTAATTCTTCCTGTGACAATTAGAACATCTTTGAAATTCAAAGACCCAAAATAGATTGTTATCTTTTCATGATCTTCGATGAGCTTCTCCTTAGGAATATGAGTCCAATTACTATGATGTGATTGAAACCATCGCAAACTTGAAAGATCACCTTTGGTTTTAATATCAGCATAACATGACATTGTTTCTATTTGTAAATCATCAAGATTGGCAAGTTCACTTTTATACAATCCAATCTCTCACTTTCATCAACTTCATTTACTATCAAATCTCTTTCCATTACTTCATCAGGAACAATTATCTCTTCATTATCATCTTTTTTCGGATCATAATAACATCTCAAATTATAACCATGTGGATCTTTAACCAGACACATGATGAGTCCAACTATCCCGTTATCATAACCACCTCCAGTTAACCAGATTTTATGATTCTTATCTTTAGACAATTCTTTTATCTTATCAATCCAATCATAATTATTATCAAGTTTCACTCTGATAAATGTTACCTGTTGATCGGGATTAGGTGCGAATGGACGTCTCAGTAGAACTGAACAATATCCTTCATCGACCATCTCCTTGTGACATATCCAAGTGAATCCAGCATCGGTTGCGTTACTTTTTAGTGTTGATAAATCAAAGTTGATCTGTTGATTATTTCCAATCAATTGTTGCCATTCTTGTTCGACTGGTCTTAATTTAGTTCTTGTCATAATTTGACAAAATCCACCTTCTTTTAGTGAATCAAATAGATTCTTCAACAATGGGTCGTATTGGTTGCATTTTACTTCAGGTTCGGTATCTTTGTACATGAGAAGAGTTGACTTGTCACGAATAAAGATAAAATCGTATAACTTTGATTCTGAGCCACTTTCGGTGTTTCCATTCTGAATATTGACCACATTAGAATCAGAATCACTCTTTATAAAATGATTCATCGTTGTGAATCCATAATCATTGAAAATGTTTTCAACATCGTTTTCAAATAGCTTTTGATTGAAATTACAAAATGCAATGGAGATTTTTTTCTTGATTAAATTGTATCTTGCAATACTCAGAATTTGTTCAAGTAAAAATTTTTCTGGTTCATAAAAGAAAAAATCTCGATACAGAGCATCTTGATATTGGTTGAGAACATTATCTAAATTCGGGTTGAAATCTGCACCATCGATTAGACTTCTGCATTGTTGTACCTCTAACTCTAAAATTTGTCTTAAAACTTTGTCAGAACTATCGTTTTCATTGATCTCTGGCTTAAGATCATTAAAATCTATTTGATCAAGCTTTCTTGATTTCAATCTCTCGATATTTTCAACTAATTTCGAGCATTGAAAACTATACTCTTGTTGTCTCATTGCTTTTTCATTGCTAAGCTTATGATATGAATTGAATGGGATTAGTTTATGGTTTCGTATTTGGTGGTTCACTGTGTTGATCTTTCTTCTGATTTCTTCGCCTTCTAATCCTTTAAGAATAAAACCGCTCGTGAGCCCCATTCTCGTTTCTTGATTGAAATAAACACTAAGTTTTTTAGTATCAATAGAATCAGAAACTGATCTGACAGTTTCATCGCTAAAGGCACTGGATGTTTCAGGTGGAAACATGTAAACATAATCAATGTAAACAGGAACAATCAGCTTACGGGACTTCGAAGCCAATAACGAGACCTGTAAACAAGCATCAGAAAAGCTAATCCAATGTCCAGTGTCTTTGACCATACCCCACCTTCCATTAGAAGAAGCTTCTTCTACACCTTGGAATGATCCTGAATAATCATAACCACGAGTTCTAAGTTCCTTGTAAATATCCTTCTTTTGAAGTATAATCTCTTTTTCTTTGATATTCTCAAAATCAACAGGTAGCAAGTTTACTGTCGGTTTATCCACAAGTCGATATTTTCCAGTTATACAGACATTTTTACTCTCATTTACGTAGATGAGGAAAGTTTCAAGATCTTCGTTAACTTTCGTGACAAATTTCATTTGACTTGCAGTTGATGTGAATTGTGTTGCTCGAAGAATTTGAACTTGATAAAATTCAACTGGATTTTCGTTAGGTTCGAGATTCAGAGCCCTACAGACCATTTGCCAAGCGTTATAAAGATAACCTGTTGCTGGAAACAAAATTCTTCCATCTATCTGATGACCAGTAAGAAATGACCAGGAAGGGTCGAGAAGATCAATTATTGTAAGGTAGAAATCCTGACTCTCTATTCTTGATTCAAATTTCATTTATTCTTAAGAATACATTTTATCATTTTTATTTTCTTATCATTGTAATCCAAATTTAATCAATTAATTTGATTGTCTAGAAACAATCAAAATGATTATGAACAAAATTTAAACAATGATTCATTTTAGAAACAATTAATCTTATCTCTATGGAGATAACTGATAAGTTACCACTTGGTAACACTTTTAATAAGTGACCAAAACGGTTAAAATGACTCCATTTTTATATGGAAAAGTTGGTTCTAACCAGATTAGTGTTTCCTCCAAATTACTTTGTTTATCTCCCCATTTTAATCCAGTATAAATACTGATTAACGTCTTAATCATCTTTAGATGAAAATTATTATTGAACAATTAACTTGCTAATTAATCAAGTTCTTTCAATTAAATTTTGTCTCCCCATTTTAATAAAGTTAATTTCAATTAAGTTCACTATCGTGTCTAAGTCTTAATTGTTATAACAATTAAACAAGTCTCTCGACTTTCTTACCTCTGGTACTTCTACGTAATTTTGTAGATAACTACAAGGGTTTTCATCAATCCTGTACGAACTTGTATGAGTAGATACGCGAAAGGCTACTCTGCAATCTTCTGAGGTTAATTAACTAATTAACCAACCTTAATTATTATCACTCCGTGAAATAATTAATCCAGGTCTTAACGACCAACAACTCTGACTAGTGTTATCCTGTGATTAGCTCAAGCTATTTCCTTGTGTATCCGTGTCAACCCCTCTTCCTAACGGAATCGATCAACAATTAACCAAAATAAATCCTTTCACTTGGCGACCCAGGCAGGATTGGTGAAACAAACTTGTGTCCTTCAGTACATCATCACGTATGAGTACTAGAGCACACACAAGAAAAATGTGTACTTGTATTTCTGACCTTGTACATTCTGAGATAATGCAAATTCTATCTCAATGGAAAGTCAAGAAAACAATACCAAGCTTATTAACTAAAAAGCTACTTGAAGCCATTAAAACCAACTTCATGGTTGATGGTACGGAAATTTCTAATTCAGAAATTGAACAATTAACCCTTGGGGATGTTACCTCTTTAGAGATTCCCTCATGGATTCAAGATTGTCGTGTTAAAGGGCTAACCGAAAACGAAATACAAATGATCATCTCGCGTCTCGGAAGAGATATTGATGAATTGGTTCAATTCCCTCTTCACGAAATTAGATCTATTAACCTACCATTGAGTACATTTAATAAGATCAAAACCATTTTAATTGAAAATGGAGCTGAGTTTAACGACTTAGAATCAACCCTCATCGATGGTGATGAAAGGCTTGAGCCTAATATCCCACCATCACAACCATCTTTACAACCTGGTGAACTCCTTGCTTTTGGTGAACGAATCGCTGCTGCGATGAAACGTGACCCAGAGGTCCCAGAGTTTCATCGTGGTGAAGATATGTTGAGTTGGTTCAACAAAACCAAATCTCGGTTATCACAAGAAAATGTTACCGATGATGTGAGACTTAGATGCTTCCGAAAAGGATTAGCGCATGAAATGCTTTGTCTTGCAGAAACTCTTGATAAAAATATTAACAATTATCAAGAATTCTTGTCTAAATTACAAGAAAAACTTGATTCTCCCTCTATGAGAATGAGTGCATTTTACGAACTCGAAGGTTGTACTTATAAGTATGATGTGCCTCCTTCCGCATGGTTATCAGACTTAAAAGATAAAGTTCTTAAATCACTTGGTGGTGATATAACTGATCGTGTCTTCTTGCATGAAGTATTAACTCATTTAGCCCCTGACGCTAGAACTGAAGTTCTTCTTCGTGGTGCAAACCATAACCTTGAACAAGTTCATGATGTTCTCTACCGGAGATACGTTGAAGCAAAAAGAAAAAGAGAAGCTTCAATTGAACAAAATAAAGTGAACAAACAAAAAGGTTCTAAACCTAATGTTCCCACTTCACCTAAAAGTGATGATTCAAGTAATCCTCAAAAAACAAGACCCACGATAAGATGCAAAAAATGCCATCGATTCGGTCACACCGAGGAAAATTGTCGATCACGAACTTCCAGTCCTCCTGAAAAAAGGGAAAAATCTTCTAAAGAAGAGACAGCAACTGTTCAAACGGTCACTTTATCCAGTGGAGTAAAATTACCTACTATGCCTGAAGCATGTCAACCGCAACAATTTGCCTGGACTCTCGGAAATTTTCCAAAGAATGAAGTTGATGAAATTCCAACTTTAACTCAATTGGATGGAATAAATCTGGAATATATTGCATTGGTGCAATTCAATTGTTTCTCACCCAAAAGAGAATTTATCAAAAAATATCGTGTTCTCCTGGATACAGGCGCGACTATTTCAGTCATGGATTATGATGTTGCCAAACGACTTGGAGTCGATATCGTTTACTGTCGTAAACCAATTAAGGGTATCGCTGCCAACATCGAAGCAATTGGATTTGCTTATGCCGCAATTAAACATCCTGACATGGATCACGTTCGATTATTAAAAATTCAAATCGCAAAAGATTTCGAACCAATTCTCTTAATAGGAAATGTATTTTTACATCTTTTCTATTTGGTCATTGATTCCGATGGTGCCTAGTATGAAATTTCCGCACGAGAGTATCCTAAAGGACCTTTTCACAGACGCGAATTTAATTTCAGATTTTGTACATGTTCAGAAACTGAAGATCTATTGAAATCAACAGTGAACATGAGACCAACAGCTAATGTTCATATCCTCGAAGATATCCCCAAATCTGAGAGAAACTTTTCTCTTATTGAAGCTTGCGAACCTCGAGAGATTAGAGCTTACAAAAACTGTAATGATCCTGAACTCGCACTCTTATTAGATGAGATAGTTCCGATCGTCAAACCAAAAGAAATTCATCTACTTGGAGATTTTCTCGAAAAAGTAAGATCAAGAATGAACAAAAACCTTACTGTTCATCAACAAAATCAATTGCTTGAACTAGTCCAAGAATTCAAGGACGTATTTAGTCAGCATCGAACCGATTTAGGTTTCGTACCTTCTTCTATTTGCCCTGTCGAAATTGACATTGGAGAACAAACAATACCATATCAAAGGCCATATCAGTGTTCTATTGAAAAAAGAAAAGCCTTTAATAAAACAATTAAAGATCTTCTAGACGCTGATATAATCGAACCGTCGACTGCTGATGGAGGTTCACCAGCTCTTCTGGTACCAAGATCAGACGGCTCTAGCCGATTGGTAACTGATTTTCGAGCGTTAAATCGAATCTCAAAAGTTCCCAAATTTCCCATGCCTCGAATTGAAGATTACTTCGAAGCTGTAAGAGGAGCAAAATATTTCAATATGTTTGATCTCTTCCAGGGATACCACCAAATTGAACTCCCCTTGGAAGAAAGAGGCAAAACCGTATTCGTTGTACCTGAAGGAAAATACCAGTACAAACGGTTGCCCATGGGTCTCTCAGGAGCTCCCTTCATTTTCCAGACATTAATTCATAAAGTTCTGGATGGCCTCCATTATGATCACTGCTTAGGATATTTTGATGACATCCCAGTGATAGGAAAAACTTGGCCCGAATTATTAAAAAACACTAGAAATGTATTGACTAGATTCAGAAAATTTAACCTAAAGGTAAAAACAGAAAAATGTTCTTTCGGTTATACCGAAATTTTGTTATTGGGACATATTGTAAATGGTGATGGAATCAAACCTGATCCCAAGAAAGTTAATGCACTGAGAGAATTACCTTATCCAAAGAATGTTAAGGAATTACAGTCCATCCTTGGTTGTTATAATTATTTCTCAAGGTACATCAAGAACTTTTCAATGCTCGCTGCCCCACTTTACCGGTTAGTCTCTAAAGAGAAAATTTTGCCTTCTCAAAGAAGATCATAAAGCACTCGATACATTGAAAAATCATTAATTGAAACAACAATGTTGGTTCACTTTAATCCCAAACTACGACGAAAAATAACTGTCGATGCTTCAGACATCGCCGTAGGTGGAATACTTTTACAAGAAGATGATAAATCTCCTTCTTTCAATCTTTCAACACCCTTGGAAGAAATTCAAGACTGGTTACCTGTTTCTTTCTACAGTCAAAAGTTGCTCAAGCATCAAAGACATTACTCCGTCTCCGAAAAAGAGCTATTAGCTATTTTCGTTGGTGTCAAAAAATATGAACATTATTTAGAAGGCACTGAATTCCTCGTGGAAACGGACCACCATGCGCTTTTACCTTGCCTAAAGTTAACTTTAAAAATGCAAGATTACAAAGGTGGGCGATAATGTTAGGTACTTTCAACTATAAAGTAATTTACAAGAAAGGAATCACCCATGGACCAGATTGCTTTTCGAGATACCAATCTCAATGGAATGACAAAGATGTAATCGATCCTGAAGAAGAGTACATTGATAGACTCTTAACCGTTGATTATCTCGTTCCCGAAAATGATGATTATGAACTAGGATTCAATATAATAAACTTTGGCCTAGAGGAACCATTTAAAACTCTATTCAAATTAGAGGATCCTCCTGATTTTGCTTTTATTGCTGGAAATCCACTTCATCTTAAACCTTCATGGAAAGAAAGAATTTTGAGATTCCAAGAACAAGATCCTGAATGCCAAAAAATCAAAGAATTGATTCAAAGAAAATGTTCATCAATTCTAAATAGATATCGTATCCGACATAATCTATTATATAGAATTAATTCAGCAAATCCTGAAAATTCAAGAGTCATAATTGACCCTACACTCCTCAAGGAAATATTTGAAGACTTTCATTCAACTCCCTTAGGAGGTCACTTTGCAACAGAAAAAACATATTTGCAAATCGCACAAAGATTTTGGTGTAAATATATGTTCGACCAAATCAAAAAGTTATGTGAGAATTGTGAAGTTTGTGCTAAATCGAAACCTTTAAACCGTCAATTCGTTGATCCTCATCCCAAGCCAATTCCCAAGAAAATCTTTGAGAGAATGGAACTTGATGTACAGGGTCCAATCAACATAAAGGGTAAGATCA